TTCGGATTTAAGATGTTGTAAAGTGGATTGACTGTGTATTTTATGGGCGAAACGTGGCCACCAATTGCACACAGCAGCGTCCCACAAGCAGTCGCGGATTGAGGGATTATTACCCACAGAAAGCGATCCGCCAATCGACTAACAACTGGGTTCCTACTTACTCCGAGGTAAACGGAGGCGTGTGGAGTAAGGAAACGTACCTAAGGGTTCGCCCCACTAGGGAATTGAAACCAGGTCCTCTCGCTTGCGAGGCGAGCGCACTGACCACTACGCTACAGGATTCCACGGACACTTTGTGGACACCGTGTAGGTTTGTAAGGTTTTTATTTTTTTTTAAGTTGGTTCCCATTTAAATTGGCTCCTGTGTCTGTAGTCGGGCAGCCAGAATCTGGGTGATGCATCGACGTGTATGGAAATAATGGGATCAGTGATCCTAATAAGACACTGACACAGAGGAACATGCTCGGGGGACACAAAGGCAGTGAGCAGCGTTTGAAACAATAAAAGGTTAGTGAAGACTTGGCTTGGGATGGGTTGGGGGTGCGGGGTGGGAGGGGGGGGGGGGTATGGGAGGCAAGAGAAGCCATTGGGGGAGGGGTGGTATAGCTAATTCCGTTGAGAAATTTTCCAAACATTCCTCGATTCCAGCGGCACTGAAATTCCACCTAAAAACTGATTTAAAATTTAATTTAAAATTCGCCCAGAATTTAGGTCAAAATTCTCAAATGTGGCTTCCAATAAAGTGCATCTCTTTGACCGCGTTTTCGGTTTCCCCACCTTTCCCCCCCTCCCAGCCCCCCCCCCCCACTCTATGCTCCCAACCTCCAGTTCAGGTGCCGAGGCACCTCGGGACAAGCTCTGAACGTGAAAGTCACTGTATAAAGGTAAATTTGAATTGTGTATAAAACTTAAGAATATCAAAAATAGACTCATGTCAACATGTTACACAATTGCTCTCCATCAAAAGTGCAGGTATGAAGGTGAATCAGTCATTAAAGAGACAGGTCCCACAGGCTCTCTCTGATGGTGTTCCCTATGAGCTATTTATACGGCAATTTCCGTTTTGCCATTGATGCTGTCACACCGAGTCACTGTCTGCAGATTTCCAAACACATCCAACCTGGCCTAAGAGAAGTTCAGGCAGACAGCCACAACCAGGACCAATACCTGATGGCACTACAGTACTCTGTTGGTCACCGGGAAGATTTGGATAGAAATTGGCCTGGAATAGGACTCAGGGACAGGAAGAGGCCATTCAGCCCGTCAAACTCGATGCATACAATTTGTGGAGTCCCGTAGCGTGGTGGTTAGCAAGCTTGCCTCGCAAGTCAGAGACCCGGGTTCGATTCCCTGGCAGAGCGAAACCGTAGGCAAGTTTCCTTATTCCATATGCCTCTGTTTACCTAGCAGTAAGTAGGAACCCGGTTGTTAGTCGATCGGCACTTTGAGACGTCTCAAGGGACAACGATTATTATTATATTATTATAAACGCCAGCACGGACAAATAGCCTGTTCCTGTGCTGTAATGTTCTATGTAACTCTATTTAATCCTTATGTGCTGTGCTCCATATATGGTTTTACAGTCTCCTCTCGTTTTGTTAGATTGCAGCGAGGAATTAATTGAAGAATTATTGCAGTGAGCCAATGTGTAACGAAACAAACAGCATCTCAGAGAGCAGGTGGACAAACAAGTTAGCCAGGAACCGAGAGGCGAAACACATTATACTCATCGCACTGGATGTTGTTCCAGTGTTAATTGACGGAATGAATCAAATTGGAATTGGGTAAATCGGGCCTGAATTAGGAAATGTTCTTTTCCAGCATCCACCCTTGACAGAATGTCCTTGCACAAGGTCTGTTGCGTCCTGCCTGCCAGCTCCGAAGCAAAGCCATGAATCTTTCTCCCACGTACGCAGCTCTGACACACACAGCCTCCTGATCATCCCCACCTGCCCAGGGCTGGAGCCTTATCACCTGCAGCCTCAGAATAAAGGAGATGGGATTCTGTCACTGAACCATCACAGCCACATCTTCAAGCTATAGACTGGACAATGACAATAATAATACTAATGTTACTACTACTACTACTAATAGTAATGCTTGCATTTGATATAGCACCTTATCATGTACCTTATCATGACATTGAGACGTCTCAAAGCTCTTCTCAGAATAATATAATAATAATAATTCTTGCATTTGGCATAGTGCTTTTCACGTTTTCTAGACGTGTTAAAGTGCTTCACAGAATATGCTGTAAGTGTATTGACTGTGTATTTTGTGGGCAAAACGCGGTAATCAATTGTGCTGAACAGTGTTCCATAAACAGTCGTGGAGAAAATATTTTTATATAGAGGATAGGTTCATCCCTAGCTATGAAGACATTTGTCTACAAAAATACGCAGTAAATACTACACTTTACAGTCAATCCTGTGAGTAATCCTGTTGAAGTGGATGTTCTCAATATAGCAATGAGCTTGAAACTGAGTTGCTATAACACACCTTAAGCACAGTCTCTCCTGCTTCCAAAAGGCGCAGGTTTCTACGCCACCTGAATCAGGCACCTTCCTTTCAATCTGTTAATCTTCGAACCAGCGGCAGGTGAAATCGATACCGCAGTTCGCATCTTACACCGTTGCCCTCGCCTTACGAGCCCAGCTTTAAAGCAC